CGCATGTGGCTCTTTTACACCTTTGCCGCGGCTCCGGGGCGGAGACTAGCGAGGGGAGGAGGCGCATTGTGCGCCCTGACACTCCCCACTGTGGCGGGCGCTGTACTGGCTGTGACGTCCCGACGTCACCTTCCCGGTTTTGCAGCTCCCAGTTTTTTCCCCCTTCGGAAACGGGTCCAAGTGGCTCTTTTTGTCTTAAAGGTTGCAGACCCCTGGTCTATACCAATAAGGCCTTTATTAGATTATCCTGACTCTTCAGCTTTTCTTGTTCTCCTCCACCACCACCTCCACCTCCTTGAGGCTTTGCGTCTTCTCTCATTTTGCTCCATCTGGCCAGAATGGTCTTTTGGCTAATCCAATCCAGCTTCCCCTTTGACAAATCCATCATGTCTCATTATTGCAACCTTGCAGCGTCTCTGCCAGCTGGGATTTGCCAGACCTCCCTGAATGCCCGGGGCAGGGAGCTAGACAGGGTCACTTTCTGCTTGCGAGAGCCTAGAAATGAGCTATGAAAGGAAGGCCAGAGTACAAGAATGAAAAATGGACAGAAACTGCCCATTCATAAATTTGAGTAGGAAATGGAAGATTCTACCTGTAAGAGGAGTGGAATGTCCCTACACAGTGAGGGGAAAACTGGGGCCCTCTACTTGTTCTAGGACTCTACCTCCTGGAAAAGCAAAAAATTGACCTTTTCCTGTTAGGCAAAGATCATAAGATGGCCCGGATGGTCGCCAGATTCTGTGTACAGATCTGTAGGTGCAGACCATCCCCCAAACCAAACTAGTTCGTTAAGAAAACCCCCAAATTCTGTTCCATGGGTGACTGGGTCATCTCTCTGCAGTAGCTTATCTTAAAGTTTTAAGTGTCTATATGCTCATCGCATTTATAAATTTTAAATTTATTGTTGTACATTGTTTTAAATGTTTGTTTTCCTTCTGGGATTGTACCCCCAAGTGTGTTTTATAAGCTGCTCTCCGACCGTAATTATCTATCTATAGGACTCTAACTCCCATCAGCCCAAGCCAGTATGGTCAATGGACTCAGGGAGAATGGGAGTTGTAGTCCATAGAATCATAGAATTGTAGAGTTGGAAGGGACCCCAGGGTCATCTAGTCCAACCCTCCGCAATTCAGGAATCTTAACTAAAGCATCCATGACAGATGGCCATCTAACCTCTGCTTAACAACCTCCAGTGAAGAAGCATCCACAACCTCTCATGGGAGTCCAATTCTACTGTCGAACAGTTCTTACTGCCATAAAGTTCTTCCTGATGTTATGATGGGATCTACTTTCTTGTAACTTGAAGCCATTGGTTCAAATCCTACCCGCCAGAGCAGGAGAAAACAAGCTCACTCCATCTTCCATGAGACAGCCCTTGAGATATTGAAGATGGCTATCATATCTGCTCTTTTTGTTGTTTAGTCGTGTCCAACTCTTCGTGACCCCATGGACCAGAGCACGCCAGGCACTCCTGTCTTCCACTGCCTCCTGCAGTTTGGTCAAACTCATGCTGGTAGCTTCAAGAACACTGTCCAGCCATCTCGTCCTCTGTCGTCCCCTTCTTCTTGTGCCCTCCATCTTTCCCAGCATCAGGGTCTTTTCCAGGGAGTCTTCTCTTCTCATGAGGTGGCCAGAGTATTGGAGCCTCAGCTTCAGGATCTGTCCTTCCAGTGAGCACTCAGGGCTGATTTCCTTAAGAATGGATAGGTTTGATCTTCTTGCAGTCCATGGGACTCTCAAGAGTCTCCTCCAGCACCATAATTCAAAAGCATCAATTCTTTGGCGATCAGCCTTCTTTATGGTCCAGCTCTCACTTCCACACATCACTACTGGGAAAACCATAGCTTTAACTATGCGGACCTTTGTTGGCAACGTTATGTCTCTGCTCTTAGACTCCTCTTTTCCAGGAGGACATGCTACCCAACTCCCTCAACTGCTACTCATAATGCTTGGTTTCCAGACCCTTGATCATATTGGTTACTTTCTGACAGTAAGAGCTGGTCAACAGTGGAATGGTCTCCCTTGGGAGATGGTGAACTCTCCTTCCTTGGAGATTTTAAAGCAGAGGTTGGATGACCATCTGTCATGGATACTTTAGTTGAGATTCCTGAATTGCAGAGGGTTGTACTAGATGATCTTTGGGGGGTTACCTTCCAACTCTATGATTCTGTGACTTTCAGAGACTGAGCAAAAGCTAGCTGGAGAGGTAGCAATGATGGGTACCAAAGCCATTTTCTTTATTCCTATCCCGTGTCAGGAATCTGCTATAGAAGGACAAAATCTGTCAGTTTTGATTTCTCATTTTTCCAACCTTTTCGCTTAAGATTGCATTTTTAAGTTCTCATGAGAATTCACCGGCATTTTAGTTTGCCTTTTTCTTAATTTATAGGCAGTATTGCCTAATATAAACTGCTTAACAAACAAGCACCCTTATGGTGCATTTTTTGGGGGGCTTTTCCCACTAACCCGTATGTTTTATGTACCTCTTCCCCTAATATATGCGTTTCTTTTGCACAAATTGCTTGTTTTGAGAAATGCCCTGCGAAATCTGGAGAAGTCCTTTCGAAGAACAGCCACAGTTTGGGTCCGTGCATGATTTTGGGAGCAGCGAATTAGGTACATGCCTGTTAGGAATGCAAACTGAACTGCATTCCTCCCCCATTGTGAGCACCTGCCAGTCTCCCTGTCAATCGCTCAGTTTCCAAGGCGATTAGATGTAATTTTCTGCAGCTATGCAGCCTTTAGCCGGGTGGTAATGCCCCTAAATGGGAGGGATGGCTGAAACAGTTAGATAAAGTTATCAGTTGTTTCGTGTAAATTTGTGTGTGTAGTGGGAGGAGATATACAAGTGATCGGCCGTTTCAGATGGAATGACTTATCGCATGGAGGGTGGACTGGGAACTAATTTCCCCACTTGAAGCAGAGAAGCCAAAAGGGTTTGGACGCCTCTGCTAATAAGGAACAACTTTTGCTTTGAACAAGACGAACTGTCAGGCTTTCCAGTGTTTTCGTGAGCAGATTGTTCATTAGGGCTGATTGATTGGGAGAGGCTCCCTTGAAGTGATTGGGATACATAATTATGCTGATAAGAATGTGCCCGAGATTAATCTCTTAAGTAATTTAGCAGTGGCATGCGACGAGATTCTTGGAGAGAAGTCTAAACTGTTAGCAGTTTGTCAGACAGTTCAGACAGCGCCGGCTGAGAGGATTCGCATCTCTCCGAGCTAAGTAGGGTCGTGCGAGTTCAGGGAATGGTTGCGAAGCGCCACAGAGCTATAGAAAGATGTTCTTCACTCTGTCCCTCATGGATCAAAGAGCTGGTCGGTAGACCTAAACCAATGCTGCTCACAGGTTTTCCACAAACATTTTAAGCTGCCTCCTTTTTCTTGCAGATTCCCTTTTCCACAAACATATTCCCCACCTCCCGCTTTTTGTGCTACTTGTGAACACGACCATCTTTCCATTTCCATTGCCCTCACTTTCACTTGTAGTGTCCATTTTTTATTGTTCTGTTTTCCCCCATTTCCCATGGATTGTTTTTATAGGCTCTGCTGAGAAATGCAAGTAATTAAGTGGCACATAAATGTATTAAATAAATAGAAGTTTACAAAGCAGCCCAGTGGCTATGTGGCATTGTAGCATATACCGTACTTTACCATGTATAAGACGAGGTTATTTTATTTTAAAAAATTACTTTAAAAATATGGGGTCGTCTTCTACACGGATAGTGCATAGGAGGGACGTGTGATTGGCTGCTCCCGCGAGCCTGAGATTGTCATCAGCTATTGGGCGTTTTATTGGTGGCTGTGGCAAGGGCTGGTGTTGATTGGCTGTTGGTGCATGAGTTGGGCGGGCGATTGGCGGCATCTGCCAGCAAGGGGACAGACGATAAGCGGATATTGCGACGTGTGCGAGTAGCAGAGCAGGTTATGCGGGTGAGCGATTTTTGGCAATCCCCCCTAAAAAAATCTCAACAAGTCTGGGCAATCCTCCCCCAAAAAGCTGAACAACAACTCTGGGCAATCTCTCCCCATTTTCTTAATTTGGAGTCCCCAAAAATAAGGGGCCTCTTATACATGGGAGCATGCTATACATGGAAAAATACAATAAATTTTATGAAATAAAGTACAGCAGTGATTCCTGAGGGTGGGGGAACTGAGGCACGCACAGGCCAAGCGCCGTGGTTTGCACCTGTGGGTTGTGTTCCTCCAGTGTGTCTCCTTCAGCCCCTGCCCACCCCCCACCCAGGTGGCTAACACACAGTGGGGCTGTGGTTCTGGATCCCTTGTTCTCTGGGTCAAATTTTCAGAATAAAAAATTCCTCGTGCCACACCCATTTTCAACTGATAAATAAAAGTATTTAAGAATCATTTTATAAGTTGTGTGTCTTTATTATTATTTATTGCAATTGCTAAGTGTGAATTTCTGTTTATTTATTATCTGTTTATTATTTGCCGATGTTTTGAGAGTTAATTTAATTGTGTAAATTGCCTTGAGTAGAAAGGCGGTATACAAATTAAAAGTGAAATGAAATGAAATTAAAAAAAAAAAGGAAGAGGGTGACGCTGTTGGTTAAACCACAGAGCCTAGGACTTGCCGATCAGAAGGTTGGCGGTTCGAATCCCCATGATGGGATGAGCTCCCGTTGTTTGGTCCCAGCTCCTGCCAACCTAGCAGTTCGAAAGCACGTCAAAGTGCAAGTAGATAAATAGGTACTGCTCTGGTGGGAAGGTAAACAGCGTTTCAGTGCTCTGCTCTGGTTCGCCAGAAGTGGCTTAGTCATGCTGGCCACATGACCCGGACGCTGTACGCTGGCTCCCTCAGCCAATAAAGCGAGATGAGCGCCGCAACCCCAGAGTCGGACACGACTGGACCTAATGGTCAGGGGGTCCCTTTACCTTTACATAGTGTTGTGGTGCCATTCTCTCCATCATTGTGTGATTGGCTTCCCCAAGCTTTCATGTTGACCAACAGTGATTCTTCCTTTCCGGCTCCACTAGGTGGGTCATGATGGTGCCACACCAGAAAGCTCCTGGCTCTTGGAAGAAATAACCATCATTGTGCCCACCAAAGGTGTCATGTATACCTTTGTCTGCAAGTGCTGGCTGGCCAGAGACATGGGAGATGGACTTACCTCGCGGGTCTACAACATCCTGGATGCAGACTGTGTCAACGTTGGCCTGAAGGTCAGCCATATCACCTTGCCTTATACCTCTCACCGGCCATTTCTGAAGCAAATACAACTCTTTTTTCTGGGAGGGAACCAGTGGTTCTCAAATTCTCCTGCCTTTGCCTTTGAAAATTACTGGTGGCTTTGGCGGACCACCAAAGGAACTCTTTTTGTTCTGCAGAATTCTTTTTTTATTGTGAATTCATGATTATTTGTACCCAGGATGGTATCAGGGCAGCTATATATGATCTTCTTTTCAACACTGTTCATGTCTGTGAAAGTTTCAGGGTAGGCATGCTGCATCATTTATAATAGGTGCCTGTCCTGTAACTTCCTGATGCTCTAACTTTACACACCACTAATGTCCTGGGGTGTGTAAGTCCCGCTTTGGTTGTGCTATAGCACAGTAGTCCTCCTCCAGATTCCAATAATAAAGTAACATTAGGGAAATGTCGTAATCCTGTGCTGCCAGCTGAGTCAAGGGAGAAGTCAGCCGACCAGCCGAATCTCAGATGAGTTTGTATATAAGGTTCAGTGCAGTCCTAAGGCCAGGAGGGTCTCAGTTCAAATGATGATGATGATGATGATGATAATAATAATAATAATAATAATAATAATAATAATATATTTATACACCGCCCATCTGGCTGGGTTTCTCCAGCCACTCTGGGCGGCTTCCAACAAAATATTAAAATACAATAATCTACTAAACATTAAAAGCTTCCCTAAACAGGGCTGCCTTCAGATGTCTTCTAAAAGTCTGGTAGTTGTTTTTCTCTTTGACATCTGGTGGGAGGGCGTTCCACAGGGCGGGCGCCACTACTGAGAAGGCCCTCTGCCTGGTTCCCTGTAACTTGGCTTCTCGCAGCGAGGGAACCGCCAGAAGGCCCTCGGTGCTGGACCTCAGTGTCCGGGCAGAACAATGGGGGTGGAGACGCTCCTTCAGGTATACAGGACCGAGGCAGTTTAGGGGTCTAAAGGGCAGCACCAACACTTTGAATTGTGCTCGGAAACGTACTGGGAGCCAGTGTAGGTCTTTCAAGACCGGTATCGGCTGCTCCCAGTCACCAGTCTAGCTGCCGCAATCTGGATTAGTTGTAGTTTCTTGGTCACCTTCAAAGGTAGCCCCACGTAGAGTGCATAGTCAGATGATCCGGGAGTCAAGAAAGCCAAGGGTCCATGGTTGCAAGAAGCAGCAAGGTCTGCCCAGGAACGATGAATGTTGTTTCCAGCAGCCGACTGAGGCTGGAAACCCTGCTTAAGAAACCTGGAGCTAGCTGGTTCTCATCGGGAGCAAGAAGGCTGATCAGCAGCAGGTGGAGTCACTTCGCCGTCTGCTCCTTCAGGCTGCTGCTCAGCAGGTGAAGCTGACTCCTGGCCCATGACAGGAAACACTGCAAAACAACCAATGTGTAGATGGTCCAGTATAAATACATCACTATTGTGTTTTAATTCTGTCAATAACATGTTGGAAAATGCACAGCAAAAAAACCCACAACACTTCTGGAGGTGGCCCAACACATATACAGCGGTACCTCGGGTTAAGTACTTAATTCGTTCCAGAGGTCCGTTCTTAACCTGAAACTATTCTTAACCTGAAGCACCACTTTACCTAATGGGGCCTCCCGCTGCTGCCGCGCCGCTGGATCACAATTTCTGTTCTCATCCTGAAGCAAAGTTCTTAACCTGAGGTACTATTTCTGGGTTAGCGGAGCCTGTAACCTGAAGCGTATGTAACCTGAGGTGCCACTGTAATAACTTGTAGTTTAATAACTGTAGCCTTCCGTTTCGAATGTGATGGATCGTACTCTAAACTAAGGCATTATTGTGAAAACCAGGGCCATGCTATTAAAAACATGGGCCCTAGGTACGGAGGTGCTCAGAAGGGCCCCTTGAATTGGTCAATTTCTAGGGAATAAGTTACCATGGCCAATGGCCATCGATGGACCTATCCCCCTAAACTGCTCAAGCTACAGACTATCTCTATATCACTTATGGCAAGGAGCTCCACCCATTAATTGTTCATTTTCAGGTGGGAAGGGAAGTGCAATAGGACAACCGATATCAAGACATTTCCCCTCTCTTTAATGTGGAATTCCTTCTGCCCATAAAGCCAGCCTTGTTCTATGCATAGCCTAAGGAGCCAATGACACACACACACACAGTCCATTCTATTTTTTACAATTGTGGCTTGGTCTTTGGTGGGTTTTTTTTTCAGTAAGTATTTTTTTAAAAAAATAAAAAAAAATATTATTTTAATTACAGAAATTAAAATCACAAGTCCTTCATCTCTTCCCAGATTCTCTATGAGGTGACCGTTGTGACTGGCGATGTCTCACACGCCGGTACGGATGCTGGTATTTTTATAGTGCTCTTTGGATCTAACGGGTGCTCTGAAGAGATGCAGCTGGAAAAAAACGGAGTCAGGTAAGCAGGATTTTGCCAAATTCCTTCTTCCAGAGCTCCCAGTCCATTCTTGAGCCCCTGGAGGGCCATTTGGTCTTTGTGGGTTCGTTGTGTAGGACTTGGTTTGAGAAAATGCCTAGTTTATCCCTGGGCAAATCATGATCTCTCATACAGCTGTCAATGGGACTTCCTGGTCCTGGTAGCTGTAGACTGAGGCCCCTGCCCAGTGGCGTAGCATGGGGGGTCCAGGGGGGGCCAGATGCACCGGGCGCAACATCTGGGGGTTAGGGTTAGGGGGCGCAAATCCACGGGTTAGGGGGGGCAAATCCACGGGTTAGGGGGCACAAATTACTTGCCTTGCCCCGGGTGCTGACAACCCACGCTACGCCACTGCCCCTGCCCTCTACTCCCTGCAATATACTGCCAAGAACTGCTGCTCATATACATATATTCGATCAGCATTTCCTAAGCATCATTAGCAACAACAACCTCTCTGTATCTGCCCAAATTGTCTTAGAAAGGTGCTTCCACATTTTGCTTTCAAACTTTCTTTATACAGTGGTACCTCGCAAGACGAATGCCTCGCAAGACGGAAAACTCGCAAGACGAAAGGGTTTTTGGTTTTTTGAGTTGCTTCGCAAGACGATTTTCCCTATGGGCTTGCTTCGCAAGACGGAAACGTCTTGCAAGTTTGTTTCCTTTTTCTTAAAACCGTTAATACAGTTGCGACTTGACTTCGAGGAGCAACTCATAGAACGCGGTGTGGTTGCCTTTTTTGAGGTTTTTGAAGACTTTGGTGATTTTTGAAGCTTTTCCAAAACTTTTCCGAAACCGTGCTTCGCAAGACGAAAAAATCGCAAGACGAAAAAACTCGCGGAACGAATTAATTTCGTCTTGCGAGGCACCACTGTACATCTCTAATTGACTTTTTTGAAAAATTAAAATTAAAAGTCCAGGGTCCCTGCTTGCTCAGGGCCTGGTACATGTGTATCCTACTGTTGGTGGACCTGATCTCTCTCTCTGATTTTCCCTATCAGAAAATCTAAACAATATAACAGGGAGCATAGGAAGTTCCCCTTGAGCCGGTTGCTCCTCACTGACTTGCAATGGCTCTCCAGGGTCTCAGGCCTGCTTCCTAATGGAGATGGCAGTTTACCAGGACTGGAAACATGTTTTTCTCTTAACTGCTGTAAAAATAAAATAAAAAAGCAAAAGCAAAAAAGGCAAGCTGAGATTTGGGTGGTTTTTCTGCAGTTCCATGGAATTGCAAAATGCACTGAGGCCTGGAAACAATCCCAGAAAATTGCCATGCGAGGATAATTGGGACAGCAAATTGTAGCTACCCTAAGACTTGAAGCCTTTCTTTAAGTAATAACCCAAGGTGATTTATGCAACAGAAACAATTCAATACATAATAGAAATTTAATAAATAAAAAACAAGCACGTCTTTAAACTGTCCCAGATAATAAGGCAATTTAATTTACATTAGCGTTAAGCTGCAAAATTGCTCCTGGCCATGCAAAAATTGATAAGTGGGCATGAGGGCAGGAACAGCCAATGAGTTCCTCCTGAGAGATGAGCCCATATCCAGGAGAGGGCACTGTGCCAGGCCATTTATCTGCTCTGTCTTCACCCCTTTTCCCTCTTGTTAGTGTTTGATTCAGATTTATGCCCCCGCGTGCATATAAATTAAGCGTTCTCAAAGAGCTCTCTTGCCATCTAGTTCATCTCTCCAGGGCAATAGCCTCTGTGTTATTTAATCTGTCCTGTGGAGCAACAGGGAGGTTAAGAATCCAACAAACAGTTATGAGCAGGATCTTTAAATGTGTTGCTTGCAGGAGCAGCGCGATAGCAGAACTGTTCAGCCTGAATGGGAACCTGGATCAAGCCAATGGCCCATCCAGCCCATTATTGTCTGGGCTGACTGGCAGTGGCTGTCCTGTGTCTCACCCAGAAAGAGGTCCACCATCTGTTGCAAGAACCTTCTACCTGGAAATGCCTGAGAGTTAGCTAGGGTCCTTCAGCCAGTGTGGTGTAGTGGCTAAGAGCGGTGGACTCGTAATCTGGTGAACCGGGTTCGCGTCCCCGCTCCTCCACTTGCAGCTGCTGGGTGACCTTAGTCACACTTCTTTGAAGTCTCTCAGCCCCACTCACCTCCCAGAGTGTTTGTTGTGGGGGAGGAAGGGAAAGGAGATTGTTAGCTGCTTTGAGACTCCTTAAGGGAGTGAAAAGGCAGGATATCAAATCCAAACTCTTCTTCTTTCAGCATGTGAAACATGTGTGCTCTCCTACTGACAGTGGTGGCACATGCAAAGTCCAGATAAGGATTCGTGACATGGGTTGGAATGGGATGAGATTTCAGGCAGGCAGGAATGAGGTCCTCACCCCTTCAACCTTGGAATCCCAGGCAGCAGTGGAGCAAGCCAATTGGGCTCCTGGGGCGGCACGTGTGTCCTGAGCCCAGGGGCGTGCCCAGCCACCCGCGGGGGTGGGGCAAGCTGGGGCAGGATGCTCCGCAGGACCTCCAAGAACTCTGCATGCCTCCTCCCACTCAGCCGCCCTACAGCTGGGGGGGGGAGACAGCGGGTGGACCATTTGGGGCAGCACAGAGCCTGCGGGTGCCCAGGCCACCGCAGTGAATGCCAGCAGGCATTTTTTCACCCCCCCTTAGTGGTGACACCCGGGGCGACCCGCGTCCACTGCACCCCCCTTCCTCCGCCCCTGGCCCCAGGTGTCATTGGACTACAGTTCCCATCATCCCTGAACATTGGCTAAGTTGGCTAAGGATGGTGGAAGTTGTCGCCCAGTAACATCTGGGGCCCTGAGGTTGAAGAACACTGCTGTGGTCGCAACCCACTCTGTGTCCATACAACCCTCCCTCAAGCAATTACCCAAGCCTTATCGAACACCAGCCATCTTTGCTCACTTCCTGGAGAAGGGACAGGCATACACAGTAGGGCTGTGTCCTACTTTATAAAGTACAGTCCTCTGTCTGAAAAGCTGTCCAGTCCAAGTTTGGTTCAATGAACCATTGGAAGGGAAAGCAGGGGGCCTTAAGGACATCGGAAGAGAGCATGCTGGATCAGGCCAGATGTCTGCTGGAAGTCTGCAAGCAGGCCTTGAAGCTGCCAAGCAGACTGGACACACAGGTGATGCAGACCGCCTGATCCCAACTATAGTGAGATATGGTTTTCATTTAAATTTTAGGAAATTTCATTCATTAGCATACGTGAATTTCATGTTTGTGCGTTTATGCGATATGTAAAGCAGCCACTCTCTTTAGTGCTACCTGGCACTTTCCCTGACTAAATGGACAAAAAGGAAAACACCAGACTGAAAAGAAGTCTTCCAAGTGGTACTTGGATTCACCCCCAAGTCTACCTGTGCCAGGATTGATTTGACCCTTGTGGAAAGAGACGTCTTCTGCTTGGCAAAGTATTCTCTGGAATGGAGTTGCGCCAGGATACCATTTTGCCATGAATCTCACTCGCGACAAGCAGAGTCCGCAAAGCAGACTCTTAAAGCAGCCATGGCCACTTAACGGGGGGACGGGCCAAATTCCATCCTCTGCCTCCCATCCGCCCCAAGGCCAATTTATGCAAGGCCCACCAAGTCAAAAGACAGAGCACCAGACCAGCATCCTTTCCCTGCAGTGGCCAACCCTTCCCCAGGGAAGCCCACAAGCGGGGAATGAGTGCAACAGCACTCTCCCTGCAACCTGGAATATCCTACTCTTTCTTCCACCTGTGGCCGGGGGCTCTTTCATGTATGAAGCTGACCTAATTCTGAGCCAATTTCTCATTCCTCCAGATTTGAGATCGGCCAAAAGGACACCTTCATCATGGAGATTCCTGACATTGCACCACTCAGGAAGATGAGGATACGGACGGATGGAGAAGGGTGTCGCCCAGATTGGTTTCTCGAACAGGTAGCAACAGAGTTCTCAAACTCCTCTACTGCTTGTGGGGGTGGACTGTGTGCATTATTTTCATGGAGTGACTCCATTTTGGAGAAGGGACTTCGGTTTCTTCTCTAGATCTACCCGGAGTTACCTGTACCTAAGGCATGTGCTTTATGTCAAAGCTACTGTTGCGTGGCAAGGTCCCAAACCCTCCCAGGAAGTGGAATAAAGTCACATGAAACAGTATTTTAGGTTAATGGGCTAAAAAGGCCACAACTTTGTTGGTTACAGAATGTGAGTGATATTGGCTTAGGCATTGGAAACCACACCACTATATCTGACTCCTGCCCATCTGTAGGAGTCTTGGAAGGGTTAACCACTGGTAGGGGGAGCCCTGCTGATGCACATCAACTAGGAACTCCCCCGGGGTCACCAATAGAGGATGTGCCTTAGGCCCTAGACCCCCGTCTGGGGCTTCGGACAGATACCACGCCCCTCAGATTCCTTTAATGGAATACCCTTGAAATAGGAGGGGTAGGTGGTGGTCACTACCTCTCCTCACCTTCAACAGAATACTCCAATGCCTAACCTTACAAAGTTGTGATGAATTGCTACGAGGTAGGCCATTGCTCCTACTAACCTAGCAGTTCGAAAGCACGTCAAAGTGCAAGTAGATAAATAGGTACCGCTCTGGCGGGAAGGTAAACGGCATTTCTGTGCACTGCTCTGGTTCGCCAGAAGCGGCTTAGTCATGCCGACCACATGACCCGGAAGCTGTACGGCGGCTCCCTCTGCCAATAAAGCAAGATGAGCGCCGCAACCCCAGAGTCGGCCACGACTGGACCTAATGGTCAGGGGTCCCTTTACCTAGGCGAAAAACCAAATGTCCGATGCCAATTTGCCAAGTGGAAAAAATTCCTACCAGGCCCCTGTTAAAAAACAGGTGACCAACCAAAGTCCATAGAAAGGTCAGGAGATAAAGAGCCTAACCTAAGGGGGGGGCGGAGAACTGCCCAAGCAGGGAGAAAAGGAACATGTCCTTGGCCGTGGGCAGTTTAAATAGCCCATGCCATGCCCCTGGACCATCCGGATTGGACAGCCTTGGGTTGACGCGGCCGAGGACCAACCAATGGTGCAGGGGCTATCCTGCCCTATGCGCGTGGGAAGGGCTTGCTCCCAGCCCGCAACGTCATCTCCCCGGGGATGGGGAAACGGCCTTCCCAAATTCAGCTTCAGCACACTGTCAGACACCATAAACGCTTCATTTCAAATGTTTTGTTCCTTCCTTAGAGGGCTTCAATCTCTCATTATTTACATCCCAAGGTTTTCGAGGGATGGTAATAAGGAAAGTCTGCTTGGCAAGGTCGCATTTTTCATTAATGTTTCCTCCAGCCCTTCAACTTCTTATCTTGCTAGAAACGGAGACATGGGAGATCTGTAAGGAAAGCCAAGAGCAACCTATAATTTTACCCAAGCGGACTCTCTGCTGTTCGACTTTATTAGGAGAGCACATTGGCTTTGAGCCATTGCACCTGCAATACATTTCAAATCCTCTTTTGTGGTAGGAGGCCCCAAGGAGAAATTGTAGCTGCCATGGATGCTTTTGGAGAGAATGTTGCACATCCATGAGTGGGGGGTGGCTAAGCCTGGCTTGGATCCACGCGATTGTTGAAAGGGCCATTTCAGATATTTATTTTGCCAAAGCATCTTTTAAAATAATAGTTACAAAATGTATCGCTCCCTCCCCCTTCTTTGATGTGCCAAATATTTAAAATTCCCTTTGCTTCCATCTCTGCTACCCACCCCCACCCCATATAATCGAGTCACACAGCTGTATGAAAAATTAAGAATTTCAGGTGGGAAATTCATATTTATTTGTAGCTTTTGATATGTGTACGTCTTTGTTTTGTGTCTTATGTTCATTGCAGCTAGATGAGCATAAATAGGGTTGCCATATTTCAGAGGTAAAAATTCAGACACACACAAAAAGTTGTTGAGCATTTTGGGGGTGACTGCCCGCTCACCCAGTTACTGCTGCCAAGCCCAATCCATCCAACACCCCCTCCAAAAAAACCCCCACATTTGCTAAAAATTGTAAAAATTCCCCCCGGACCAAAGGAAAACATATCTGATCTCCTTCGTGTCCAAAGCAAGACAGCAAAGCAAAGGCTATACACAAACAGAAGTTCCCAGCATACTGTGCTGGAGTGTAAACAGGCATGTGACACACAGTAATCATGCCTGTTCCTTAAAGTGGAACGGAATATCCCAACATTTTGGGCACCCCAAAAGAGGACATGTTCGAGATTTCTCAGACTTATGGCAACCCTAGCATAAAAGAGATATAAGGGGAAAGAAAACACATGCTTCTAGAACTGCTACAAAGCCTTCCTCCCATGATCACGCTTTGCAGCCTTTCATAGGGAACCACGCTGAAAGCAAAGGGAATGACTGGGAGGCAGCAAGGATTTTAACTGGACAAAGGTGTGAGAGATGGGGAAGGTGATGGGGAAACCACACAGGGTTGGGCAATTTGGCAAAATTGATTCTGTAAGTTGAGGAGAAATGGTTTCGTGAAATCTCCCCGACCCGACTTTCTTCCTACAAATCCTTTTGGTGCTGGTTCAGCACATTTACATGGGAGCTGGTTTGAGAGCCTTTGTGGTGTAGTGGTTAAGAGCGGTAGACTCATAATCTGGGGAACCGGGTTCGCGTCTCCACTCCTCCACATGCAGCTGCTGGGTGACCTTGGGCCAGTCACACTTCTTTGAAGTCTCTCAGCCCCACTCACCTCACAGAGTGTTGGTTGTGGGGGAGGAAGGGAAAGGAGAATGTTAGCCGCTGTGAGACTCCTTCGGGTAGTGATAAAGTAGGGTATCAAATCCAAACTGTTCTTCTCTTCTTCTTCTTGGACTCACATGGCTTAACGTCTAATTAGACATGAATAGCATTGTACTGTTTATTTCTGATTTCCTCATCCCCTCCACCCACTCAAATGGTCTGGGGTGCCTTTTTTTAAAAAAGTATATTTTTATTAATTTTCCAATATAAAATTATACAAAGCAAAACATCCAATTTATCACCAACGGTCTGGGGTGCCTTTTAAACCTTTGAATAAAGCATCTTTGGGGTTGTTATTTTTTTGCAAGGCAGTCTTACTGTTAAAAATAAATAAAGCCGGTCGTTGAAATCTAGCTGTGATTCCTGCATCGCAAGAGTTGGGACTAGGTGACCCTTTGGGTCAATTCCAACTTTATAGTTCTATGATTCTATTAAACTGCCCCGTGGGATGATTAAAAATAGGGCTGCATGGAATGGCGTGTGGTGACTTTATATTTTTAGTGAGTCTGCTTCAGTCCCTGCCTTTGCTTTGTGGGTGATATTTAGCACTGCACCTCTCAAATAAAACAGCTGCTGAAGCAATGAGCCACCCACTCTGTATTAAAAGTGCTTATCTGTAGATGCTCAGCGGCTCATGTGTACCAAAGGAGGCAGCCATTTTTATGATGGAAGCCATTTTCAAGTTCTCAAAGATCACCCCAGAACCAGCGAGGTCTCTCTGAACTGGTGCAGAACTTGGCAGATGCCCAACCATGGAAGAAGAAGAGTTTGGATTTGATATCCTGCTTTATCACTACCCGAAGGAGTCTCAAAGAGGCTAACAATTTCCCTTCCTCCCCCACAATAAACACTCTGTGAGGTGAGCGAGGCTGAGAGGCTGAGAAGTGTGACTAGCCCAAGGTCACCCAGTAGCTGCATGTGGAGGAGTGGGGATGCGAACCTGGTTCACCAGATCACGAGACTACCACTCTTAACCACTACACCACACTGGCCAACTCCCAATGGGGGACTAGGAAGTAACTGCTGCCTGCAAACCTGTGCTCTCCAAGTTGGAGAGCTGGAGCTACATCCTTTACTTAATTGGACTACTGCAATGCGCTCTATGTGGGGCTACCTTTGAAGGCGACCCAGAAACTGCAACTAATCCAGAATGCGGCAGCTAGACTGGTGACTGGGAGTGGCCGCCGAGACCATATTACACTGGTCCTGAAAGACCTACATTGGCTCCCAGTACGTTTCCGAGCACAATTCAAAGTGTTGGTCTGACCCTTAAAGCCCTAAACGGCCTCTGTTCAGTATATCCGAAGGAGCGTCTCTACTCCCATCGTTCTGCCCGGACACTGAGGTCCAGCACTGAGGACCTTCTGGTGGTTCCCTTGCTGCAAGAAGTGAGGTTACAGGGAACCAGGCAGAGGGCCTTCTCAGTAGTGGCGCCCGCCCTGTGGAACGACCTCCCATCAGATGTCAAGGAAATAAACAACTATCTGACTTTTAGAAGACATCTGAAGGCAGTCCTGTTTAGGGAAGTTTTTAATGTTTGACATTTTGTTGTGCTTTTAATTTTCTGTTGGGGGGCCACCCAGAGTGGGCGGGATATAAATAATAAATTATTATTATTATTATTATTATTATTATTATTATTATTATCATTATCATTATTATTATATACCTTGCTCTCTTCCTCTATCTAGACCAGCCTTTCTCAACCTGTGGGTCCTCAGTTGTTGTTGAACTACAACTCCCATCACCCCTAGCTAGCAAGGCCAGAGCTCAGGGATGATGGGAGTTGTAGTCCAACAACATCTGGGGACCCACATGTTGAGAACCACTGATCTAGACCAGCCCTCTTCAACCTGGTCTTCTCCAGATGTTGTTGAACCTCAGCTTCCATCAGCTCCAGCCAGCATGCCAACTGATGGGAGTTGTAGCCCAACAACATTTTAGAGGGCAACAGGTTGGGGGAGGCTGTTTTTCGGTGGGCTAGGATCAGAGGGAGAGGGCAAGTGAGTGGGAAGGACTAAAGAGTGGTGAGGGAGGAGGGAAGCTACTCAGAAAGGAGCCCCTTAAGAGCATCTTGCTCTAGGGCCTGCCCCCCAACCTACAGTCAGAACTCCACCAACACAGGATTCATGGAAATAGAGGAAGCTTCCTTATACCATTGGTCCATCTAGCTCAGCATTTTCAGTATCCAGGGAGTTTTGCCTAGCCTTACCTGGAGATTCTGGGATTGAACCTGAGACATGCTGTATGCAAAACACATGCTCTCCAACAGAGCTATCGCCCTTCCCCAAACTCAGTTATGAGCTGAGCCACAGGGGTGGCTGAGTAAGACACCCAATAAAGCCACTTCCGCCTTAAGAAGAAGGTGGGGTTTCAGGCTTCACAGCCCCACCACGTGCGTGGGGGGTGGGAGGCCAGGCCTGCGTGATTGGGGGGGATTCCCGACTGTGTCACACCCTAACCAGCCAATCAGGTTGGTCTGGGGGCATGGCCTGCCCTATAAAGGACGGGCGCAGCTGGGGATCTCTCTCTTTGTCCGCTCGTCAGCTGTTCCTGCTTTTCCCACCCTCCCGCCCTATAAGGTTTTCGTTCCTTGAACTTGCTATGGACCTCAGTTGGTCGCCGTTGAGGGGCCTGGTAGGAATTTTTCCACTTGGCAAATAGGCACCAGCCACTTGGTTTTTGCCTACCTTGTGGCAAATCGTCACAACTTTCTGGGTATTGGTGGTTAAGTATTGGTATAGTTCTGTAGATGGAAGAGGGGAGGTAGCGCCATCACCTGCCCCGCATATTGAAGGGTAGTCAGTTAAAGGATTCTGGGGGGCATGGCCCTGTCCGAAGCCTAGGGAGGTGAGGGCCTAAGGCATGCCCCCTACCGGTGACCCTGGGGGAGCCCCTAGTTGATGTGCATCAGCAGGACTCCCCCTACTTGTGGTTAACCCTTCCTGGACTTCAAGCGGACGGGCTGGAGTCAGATTGGCTTTGAGAAGCCAATACCGCTCATCACCTGTAACCAATAAAGTCGTGGCCTTTTTTTAGCCCATTAACCTTAATAATTGTGTCATGTGTCATTATTTCCACCTTGGGGGGGGGGGTCGGGAACACGCAATTACAGGTCCGTGTTGGAAACAGAATAAGCTATCCGATATATTTATACGTTCCAGAGCAAATTAAGCTGATCGTTGTACATTGGCATGCTATGCAACATTTATAGAGGTTGCAGGAGAATTCCGTCCTTCGCACTGTGGAATTTGGTGCTGAATGTAGATTTCTTCCGCTGCTTCTCTTTCCAGCACATGCAGGGCACTCTCACCTCCCTCCAAAGCACTGATGAGTAACACACTCGCAAATGAATCTTTGTAGGTTTCAAACGGGGTGTCAGGCTGGTGTGAGGACGAATCTGAGCTCCCTTGAATTTCTGTCGGCGGCGTGTTTATAGGAGAACGAGCAGACGGGAGGACTTGTGGGGGCAGAGCTGGAATGTCAGACAGATGGTGCACTGTCAGTGCTAAGCAGACAAGATGAGAAGGCAAATGAAGCCATCAACCTCGTTAATTAACCATTTGTTGCTACATGGAAACTCAGGCACGATACTCTGAGTTTCCCTGTCTCAAAAAACTGACAAAATCTCCACCCTCCCACCAATTGTAAACAGCAGATCAGAGATGCCAATTAAAAAATGAATGGGTTGTTTCAATTAGGAGTCTGCCATTGGAGAAGTATCACAGTTTGCAATAGGAAGAAATTACAATGGTTCACAAGCCCGCCTCCGTACTTATGTTTATATTATTTATGTTTATTGAATTTATATACTTGCCAGCTATGGAGCAAAAGACTTCAGAACAGACATATATATCCTGCGTCTCCAGACTGAAACTTCTATCCAGCACCCAAAGCTGGAACCTTTGCTTGGCCTGATAGTTTCCCCAAAAGAAAGTCATTCATATCTTCCTATATACATAAAAACGTATGCTGTCGTCACGCTCTGCAGTTATTGGTGACCACACCAGCTTCAGCATGAGGAACGGCTGGCATGCCCAGACAAGCTGATTAATGGAGGGGGTGGGATAGGTGACGGGGTGGGTCATGTAGAAAAGGAAAGGGGTTTGGTCAGGTATGGGGGAATGGCAAAGGGGGAGGTGGGGTTGGAGAGCAGAGCAAGCAGGGGTGTGTATGTCTTTCCCTTATACAGCTTAGCATCTCCCTACTGGTATGCCCCACAGAGGACCTTAAGGTCCATAAATAGCAACACCCTAGAGGTCCCGGGCCCTAAGGAAGTCAGATTGGCCTCAACCAGAGCCAGGGCCTTTTCAACTGGGCTCAGAGTGGCTAACAACAAATTTAAAACAATTATAAAAGCAGCATAAAATACAGTATAAAAACATGAATAACAATAAAATTCAAAATTCAAAAATCAATTTAGGGGAAATAAGCATTAGATAATCCCCAGGGCTAGCTGGCTGAATTAGTCCTACTTGGGCCAGCGAGGAGGCCAGGGGAGAATTAGCTGTGGGGTCTCAGAGAGGGTAATCTTCATAAAAGGGGAGGGGGAGGGAAGAGAAGGGAAATAAAAGATCAGGCTGAATTCAAATTAAAGGCCAGATGGAATAGCTCTGTCTTACAGGCCCGACGGAAAGAGGTTAAATCCTGCAGGGCCCTAGTCTCATGGGACAGAGCATTCCACCAGGTCGGAGCCATCACTGAAAAGGCCCTGGCCCTGGTGGAGGATAGTCTGACTTCCTTAGGGCCCGGGACCTCTAAACTATGGTTATTCATATAAATAGTCCCACCATTGTAACTGTGTGCCCCTAACCCTACCACACCACTTGTACTGGTAAGCATCAATGATGCTGGAGTCCACAGCTCTGCCCCACCCCACACCCCAAGAGCAAAAATTCCCCAGTGGGTGTTGCTGAAGCTTTCTTTTAGGGCTATCCAAAGGGTCCTAATTCAGACTGAACGCTTTCCTTTGGTTTGGTTCCCCCCTAGATCACCATGAAGAATCTGACCACTCAAGAGGTGACCGTGTTTGCATACAATGAATGGCTCTCCACGCAGTGGGGAGACAATCTCACCCTGGAATGGGAGATTCCGGCAGTAATCGATGATGAGCAGATGATGGATTATACTGAATATACGATTCAGGTTAAAACCAGCGATGTCGGAGGTATGTTTAACATTTGTTGCATCCAGTTCTACAAGAAACCAGTGAGTTTTCCCTGCTGTGATAGAATCACTACTGTCACTAACCCACTATGTCTGTCCACGGAAATAATTCTTAAGGAAATTTTAGTAGGTTTCTTGAAACTCCGTTGACACCCTTAGATGTTCTGCCAGAGAAGAGGAACCTTCAAGTTTTGCTTAGCAGTTTGCTTTTGGAAATATTTGGTATCAGTTGACAGATGCACGGATCTCTTTAGGAAATATTCCTACCCAGATTGATGCTCTTTTTGGCTACCCATGAAATCCCTCAGAAGTCTTGGAGGATGTGTAATGTGAAGAACTGATAGATATTTACTTATAAAAGAGGCAGGGGTATTATCAAAGAACTTGTGAATTATTATTTAAACAAGCTGAACAACAAGCACACATGATCTCCTTGATTCCTGATTCTTTCATACTCAGAAAGGACACGGGTGACACTGTGGTGTAAACCACCAAGCCTCTTGGACTTGCCGATCAGAAGGTCAGCGGTTCGAATCCGCATGACGGGGTGAGCTCTTGTTGCTCTGTTCCAGCTCCTGTCAACCTAGCAGTTTGAAAGCACACCAGTTCAAGTAGATAAATAGGTACTGTTGTGTCAGGAAGGTAAATGGCATTTTTGTGCACTCTGGCACTCGTCACGGTGTTCCGTTGCACCAGAAGCGGTTTATTCCTGCTTGCTTCATGGCACCTGGAAAGCTGTCTGTGGATAAACACCAGCTCCCTCGGTCTGAAAAGCGAGGTGAGAGCCGCACCCCAAAGTCACCTTTGACTGGACTTAACCGTCCAGGGGTCTTTTGCCTTTACCTTACCTTACTTTACCTCTTTCTTACTCTGACAAACCTTTCTCCATTGTGTGTGTGTGTGTGTGTGTGTGTGTGTATGTGTGTGTGTGTGTGAGAGAGAGAGAGAGAGAGAGAGAGAGAGAGAGAGAGAACACTCTGGTTCCCAAAGAAGGGAGCTTCAGATGTCAACACGAGCACATCCATCTTCTCTTTTCCAGGAAATGAAGGGTGATAGTTTTTAACAACAGTGAGTTCTATTTTGTTATGAGCTGAGACAGCCAATGGGGGGAAACAAATTAGGGAATGAATGAGGTGAGCTTGTTTTTGATCAGATTATACAGCAGACATCATAAACGTACATCTGACTGAGGCACATGCAGGTTTGGAACTCACTCGACTGCGGCATCTCCCAGCACAGGGACAATAACCTGATTCGTATGTCATCCTAGGACCACGAGAGACGAGCTGTCATATTCTGTGCAGGGTTTGGGGACGTTTTGCAGGTGTACCGTAACCCAAAACAGTCCTTTCCTTTGCCAGCCTCCAGGAGGATAGCACAGCAGCTCTTGGCTCTTTGTTTTATATATCTCCTTCCGCAAAGGTCTAAGGCGATGTACAGAATGCAATAAAAACTGCTAAAAATGCAGTTAAAAGCAACAGGGGAAAGAACGGCAGATAATAAGCAATGCCGTGGCAGCGACCTATTTGTTCAGCTGGGAAAGCTTGTCAGAACAAACATGTCTTCAGTTGTTTCCAGAAGTGGAGATAGTGAGCACTTGTCGTAATCGTGAGTCAACAGGGATGCTGTTCCACAGAACAGGGGCAGCCAGCTAAAGGCCTTAATCCACATTACTCCAGAATGGACTTCAGAGATCTTGATTTAGTCTGATTTATAGATTTCATAAAAATTTATATGCCGCCTGATTGTATGGAACCTCAAACTGGTTTACAAAACATAAAACAGGAAATTCGGGGGGGGGGGACGACGGGATTCACATCCCTGCTTTAAAACATACAAAAGTTAAAATACTAAAATAGATTAAGATTGCCTCAACTGTTTAAGCATCTGGGTAAGGTAAAGGTAAAGGTAAAGGGACCCTTGACCATTAGGTCCAGTCGTGGCCAACTCTGGGGTTGCGGCGCTCATCTCGCTTTATCGGCCCACTTAATTTTCATTTCGTACTTTCACTATTACATAAATATCATAACTAACACCTCTCTTCTTTCTCTTCTTTGCAATATTTCATATATTCCTCCTTACAAAACTTCTTGTAGTCCTACTAGCGTAATTTGTTGATTACAGTTGCTCTTCAAATAATTCATAAATTTCTTCCAATCTTCTGTGAATCTCTGGTCCCACAGGTTTCGAATCCTTCCTGTCATTTTATCCAATTCTGCATAGTCCATTAATTTCGTCTGCCATTCTTCTTTCGTTGGTAATTCTTCTTGCTTCCATTTCTGGGCGAATTTTGCACCAGCTGAAGTTTCCAAGCGGTCTTCAGAGGCAGCCCTACGTATAACGTGCTGCAGTAATCTGTTCTCTCTCTGTCTCCCTGCAGCGGCTGGAACAGATGCCAATGTCTTCATGATCATCTTTGGGGAGAACGGGGACTCTGGGACTTTGGCTCTTAAAGAAGCAAACACGTCCAACAAATTTGAGAGGAACCAGTTGGATGTTTTCTATTTCTCCGATATACTCAGTCTTGGGGATCTCTGCAAAGTGCGGATCTGGCACGACAATACAGGTAACAAAGATGGTTTGTTTATTTGTTTATTTTAACAAAGGTTTATTTTAAGGGGTCAAGGGGGGGGTACCATTCCTGCTTTGTGTCGGGATCTCTGCTCAGCCAAGCTGATAAAGCTCATTTTCTTCCCCCGAGTCCTTCAGAATCGCCTCACGACCTGAGCCTTTGATAAGGCTCCAAGGCACTTTCCATTCAGCAGAATTTCCAGCACAGGAAAGAGACGAGAGGTTTGGGCTACATTGCAAAGAGTTTTATTATCCCAACTACGCAGACAAAAAACACATCCTCTCTCTATGAAAGCAGAGAGCAACTGAACAAAGGAACAAAGGAAACAGGAAACCACTAACGTCACATCCCGTCTCCCCTCCCATGAGACTTCCCACAGTCTGGAAGGTCTCTGGAATGTAAACAGAGTCCTGTGACTCCAAGCAGCTGCACAGTGATATGAACAGAAACTAACACTTTGCGGGCTGTATCTCTTCATGGTGGCACATAGTAGGGGGTGTTGATCGCAGAGGGAAAACTGATTGGAACAATGCATGTGACTCTCACTTTTGTAAGGTAAACGACAAACCAGCTACACAAAACTCAGAGGATCACACACACAAACATCTTTCCATTATCTATCAAAGCAAGCAGGAAATATTGCTTGGCGAGTTCCCGTCCGCCCCCCCCCCCGTGACACATGACGCAATTATTTAAGGTTAATGGGCTAAATATGGCCACAACTTATTGGTTACAGGTGATGAGCGGTATTGGCTTAGGCATTGATCCTAACAGACTATCCGGCTTCAGCCTGTTTGCTTGAAGTCCAGGAAGGGTTAACCACCAGTAGGGGGAGTCCTGCTGATGCACATCAACTAGGAACTCCCTCGGGCTCACTGCTCGGGGGTGTGCCTTAGGCCCTCACCTCCCTCGGCTTCGGACAGGGACATGCCCCCTGGAATCCTTTATCGGAGTACTCTTCAATATGCATGGCAGGTGATGGCGCTACCTCCCCTCTTCCATCTACATAGCAATACCAATGCCTAACCGCCAATACCAAGAAAGTTGTGATGATTTGCTACGAGGTAGGCGAAAACCAAGTAGCTGGTGCCAATTTGCCAAGTGGAAAAATTCCTACCAGGCCCCTCAACGGCAACCAACCGAGGTCCATAGCAAGGTCAAAGAACGAAAACCTTATAGGGGAGGAGGGTGGGAAAAACAGGAACAGCTGGTATTCGGGAAAGAGGTAGATCCCCGGCCGTGCCTGCATTTAAATTGGGAGGGCCATGCCCCCAAAGCCAGCCGATTGGCTGGCCAGGGGGTGACACGGCCGGGGATTCCCCCAATTGCGTGGGGGCTGGGCTCCAGCCCCCACGCATGGTGTTGGGCCGTGATGCCTGCAATCACACCTCCTCTGCAGGGCGGAAGTGGGTTTATCTAAATCCCAGCAGGGCAAATGGTCAAGGATGGTGCTGGGAAGGGCTAGCAATGGGTGAGGCCCAGGGGTGTGGCCAGGGAAGATTCCTGAGGGCATCTAGAGAGATCTGTTCCCTATACACTGCTTCCCCTATGAGCAAAGGTTGCAGCTATTGGGGGCTTTTTCGTTTAGAGAAAAAATGACCCAGAGACGACATGATAGAAGTTTATAAAATTGTGTGTTGCATGGAGAAAGCGGGTGGAGAAAAGTTTTTCTCCCTCCTAAAACACATGCACAGAATGTTGGGATGGTTTGAGATAGATAAAGTCAGTGCTGTATTTCTGGGGGTATGTGTACCCCTAAACATTTTGTGACTCTCTGTACTTTTGTCCATTTACTGAATTTATTTTTCCTGATTTGAACTATAAAATGGTGGTTTTCTTGAGAGTACCCCTAAAATGAGAGTACCCCAAACTTTTTTTTTAATTGAAAAAAAGCACTGGATAAAGTCCTTAGTGGGGTAGGAGAACTGGGGGAAAAAATTCACATCTGGCAACCAATTCAACCCTTTGGTTTCAGATAGTACATGAGTAGACAAGTAGATGGGTGGACATAAATTTTCACGGCCCTCTAGCAGCTATGGTGGCTCATTTACCAGCAGTAATGGAAGATAATAATAATAATAATAAATTTTATTCATACCCCGCCCTTCCCAGCCAAGACCGGGCTCAGAGCAGCTAACAGCAGATATAAAACAATTGATTAAGATACAACTTAAAAACAAGATTAAAATACAATATTAAAATGCAGCCTCATTTCAATAGAAACTCAAATCAAAAACTTTTTGGGGGATGAAAACGTCAAATCTTCACCAAGGCCAACTATCCAGACTGGTCCTACGTGGGCCAGAAAAAAGCCAGGGAAGTCCCCAAATAGGAGTTCCATCACAGAAAAACAAAGGGAAAGGGAAAAAGATAGAGTAAGCTTGTTTTCTCCTGCTCTGGAGGGTAGGACTCGAACCAGTGGCTTCAAGTTACAAGAAAGGAGATTCCGACTCAACACCAGGAAGAACTTTCTGACAGTAAGAGTTGCTTGACAGTGGAATGATCTCCCTTGGGAGATTGTGGATTCTCCTTCGTTGGTGGTTTTTAAGCAGAGGTTGGATGGCCATCTGTCATGGATGCTTTAGTTGAAATTCCTGCTTGCAGGGGCTGGACTAGATGACCCTCGGTGCCCCTTCCAACCCTACAATTCAATAAAAATAGAACAAAAATAAAATTAAGCTGGATCATTTGTGGTACAAAAAGTTCCAGGAGATTAGCAGGAGGTTACTGGACACTCGCTGATTGGGAACGAAGCACTGTGCCTACTCTTCAGTCCTGACTCCCTAAAGAGCCCTTCAACAGAGGCAGAGGGTGCAAATCATAGATATGTTGTAGCCTTCTAAAAAAAACGGTAGAAAGTGGGCCATCGCAAAAGGGAGAGAGAGCTTCCCCCATTCCCATGTAATTCAGACCTAGTGCAATTCAAAGCACAGCTATTTGCCCAAGCAACTACCGTATTTTTCGCTCTATAAGACGCACCAGACCATAAGACGCACCTAGTTTTTTGGAGGAGGAAAACAAGAAAAAAAATATTCTGAATCTCAGAAGCGAGAACAAGAGGAATCGCTGCGCAGCAAACCCTCTTGCTGTTCTGGCTTCTGGGATAGCTGCGCAGCCTGCATTCGCTTCATAAGATGCACACACATTTCCCCTTACTTTTTAGGAGGGAAAAAGTGAGTCTTATAGAGCAAAAAATACGGTATTTTGCTTTCTTCCTGAGCAGAGAAGCAGCTCCCTTCTGGTTTGGCTCCTGCGCCAGCTGCCCTCTATCCAATAGCAGGTTCCAGGCTCAGAGAGCTGGCTTCCCTCCAGCCACCGGGTGATCGTCCGCCAACCCCCAATTCCCACCGCAGTGCCCAGCCACTCCTCCTCGCACCGCAGGCGGACGTTGTGGTTCCTTTCCCTCCCCCCCTTTCCCCCTTCTGTTTGCCGAAGACTCTCTTCCCAAACTGCTGGAGACAGGGCTTTGGGAGAGAGAGCATTTATTTGTCAAGGGTTTGCTTCTCCAGGGATGCCAAAGAAGAAAAACCCTGAGCCTGGTGTCTTCCAGCACACATGGCGGTCCTGGGTAATCCTCTAACAAAACACTGCCTTCTGGAGCTCAAGGCTTAATTAAGGGCTGGCAGGCAAGCAGGGCCTGGGCTGGATTTTTCTGCTCCTCACTTTTTCCCCTTCTTCTCGTTGTTGTTAAGTGATGAGAAATGGCAGGTATGTAATTGGAAGAGCAGGCCTGGATTTCCATGCAACAGGGGGCCATAGGAATAAGGAGATTCCGCCAATAGCAGCAGGCAGGGGTGGCCAAGCACTCCTAATTCCCCCCAGGTAAATTAAATCCAGGGGGAAGGGGCTTTTGACTAGGGGCGTATCTCAGTGGTAGAGCGTCTGCTCTGCTTGCAGAAGGCTCCAGGTTCAATCCTCAGTATCTCCAGGAATGTCTCCTGATTGAACTGGAGAGTCATAACAACAACAATATATAATTATTTATACCCCGCCCATCTGGCTGGGCTTCCCCAGCCACTCTGGTGGCTTCCAACAAAATATTAAAATACCACAATACAGCAAACATTAAAAGCTTCCCTAAAGAGGGCTGCCTTCAGATGTCTTCTAAAAGTCTGGTAGTTGTTCTTCTCTTTGACATCTGGTGGGAGGGCATTCCACAGGGCGGGTGCCACTACCGAGAAGGCCCTCTGCCTGGTTCCCTGTAACCTGGCTTCTTGCAGTGAGGGAACCGCCAGAAGGACCTCAGAGCTGGACCTGAGTGTCCGGGTAGAACGATGGGGGTGGAGATGCTGCTTCATTGCATGCCAGTGTAGACAGCAGATGGGCCAAGGGACTGGCTCAGTGCAATGCTGCTTCCCTCCACAGTGGGGTTCCCAAACTCCCCCCACCTCCATGGACCACTTAACAAAATGCTGAAGATCTTGGCCAACCAGCTAATGATTTTCCCACCTATTTCAGTAGGTGTTGTGACCTGTGCTATATGCTGTATTGTCAGATGGTTGTTGCGGTTGCTCGAGAGTAACCAGGCAGGACTCCAAACCTGTGTTTTACAGGTTTTATTTTGGTGCAAACTATTTACAGTGAAGAGCTCCAAAGCTCATGTCTGGCTCAATCGCTAGCAGAATCCGGGAGTGGTCTCTCTTTGGACCTCCCCCAACATAAGAGTTTCGTTACCCCCAACCTTCTCCTTCCCTCTTTGCGCCTTAGGCTACTGAGCAGGATGGGCGATGGCAAGGGCGTGTTCCCCTCCTGTCCGGCTTGCCCAGGAGTGGTATTAAGGCTCCCACCAGCATCCTCTGGTCCTTGCACTTCTTCTCCACTGGAGGTGGGGCTTTCCTCCTCCCCGGAAGAGGAACTGCTTCGCAAGATTTTCAGAGGCTCCCTGTAACACAACTGCCCTTCTATTCCTCGCCTCTGAACCGATGGCAGTTCCCTGACATGTATGATTATTAGTTTGTGTTTCATTGGCTTCTTTTGTTTCTTGCACCCATTGGCCTTTTATGACGTTACAATCTGAATCCACCAGACATTAAGTGGAATTGGAAATGTCAATATGAACCGGACGTCACAACAGCAACAGCAACCAACCTTTCTGCCACCTTTCTGACTGGGTTTCCCCAGCCACTGTGGGTTGCTCCCCACCCCCCAAATATTATAAACACAATAAAAACACAGACCGTTAAGAACACCTTCCTGAACAGGACTGCCTTCAGATTTCTTCTTAAAGTCAAATAGTTGTTTATCTGTTTGACATCTGATGGGAGGACGTTCCACAGGGCGGGCACCGCTACAGAGAAGGCCCTCTGCCTGGTTCCCTGTAGTTTCATATCTCACAGTGAGGGAAGCTCCAGAAGGCCCTTAGAGCTGGACCTCCATGTCCAGGCTGGGCGATGCAGATAAAAGAAGCGATTCAAATGTAGCTTAAAATAAAAATGAATATCTGATGTGATAGACGTGTTGTCTCACCTCTTCAACCACAAATCCAAAGATGCGCCATGGACCACCAGAACGAAGCTTGTGGACCATGCTTACATCATTATGCAAATTATGTTTTCGTTATCTTATTCCACCCCATTTATTTCAGCAGAAAGGAGACACGGTATAAGTGGAAGGGAAGACACAATCAATTGCATACTGTTTGCAGGCTGAAAATAACAACCGCAGCAAATACTTACTGTGTTCACTGGATTTCCGTTGGTTTCCGTTCCAGATGTTGGACAAACAAGTGAACACCAGTGATTTCCATTCCCGTTTTTGTTGACGTCTTTGACATCCCTACCTGTAGGTGGCAGCAGCCGAACCTGCTTCATGTCCCCCAAGTAACGAGAGGCTTCCTTTCCCGCAGGGATAGCGCCCGGCTGGCACTTGGAGTACATCGATATAGAAGACTCCCTGATGGACAAGATGTTCCGCTTCCAGTGTGATCGCTGGCTGGCGAAGAGCGAAGATGATGGGCAGCTCCTCCGAGAGCTGGCTTGTGCCAATAATGACATCCTGGAACTGAAGGAACGCACCTGTAGGTCTAAATGGGAGAGCTGGGCAGCGGAGGGGGAAACTAGTGGTAGCCATTTTATTTAAAGCGGAAGTCATGCTAGCCCTCCTCCAACATTTTCCACAGGTGGAAGCTCCATGTGGAGTAGCAGGATTATGCCACCGGTCATAGAACCATAGAATTGTAGAGTTAGAAGGGACCACAGGGATCATCTACTCCAACTCCCTGCAATGCAGGAATCTTTTGCCCAACGTGGGGCTTGAACCTACAACCATGAGGTTAAGAGTCCCGTACTCTACTTACTGAGCTATTCTCCACTTGACATTGGGCACACCACTGGCACTGCCCAATGAGGGGAATCTTGCACCTAAACAATTGTTCATGACAGTGGCCTTCGGGGGTCTCATATTTCATCAGCCCCATGTGCGATGCCAGAATTCAGTGGCGCCCTGCCTCTCGCCTTCCATTCTACATCATATCTGCAGCACCCCTGAGGCTCTGCACCCAGTGCAACTGGTTGCGCTCCCCCAAATCTGCCTCTGCTTATGCAGAGGGTTTCATGCAACCAGCGCCCCTGTGTCGTGGGGTGTCCTGTTTTTGTGAAGGTTTACAGAGGGCCCCAGGGACGCGGGTGGCACTGTGGGTTAAACCACAGAGCCTAGGGCTTGCCGATCAGAAGGTCGGCGGTTTGAATCCCTGCGACGGGGTGAGCTCCTGTTGCTCAGTCCCTTCTCCTGCCAACCTAGCAGCTCAAAAGCATGTCAAAGTGCAAGTAGATAAATAGGTACCGCTCTGGTGGGAAGGTAAACGGCGTTTCCGTGCGCTGCTCTGGTTCGCCAGAAGCGGCTTAGTCATGCTGGCCACATGAACCGGAAGCTGTATGCCGGCTCCCTCGGCCAATAAAGCGAGATGAGCGCCGCAACCCAGAGTCGGTCACGACTGGACCTAATGGTCAGGGGTCCCTTTACCTTTACCTTTTACAGAGGGCCCATACCTCAACATCTGCATCAGGGCATGGAAACAGCAAATGCAGGGACCGCTTTGGAGCTGGTGAAATCTGGGCCAGTGGTGTTGACGCCCCACTTTGCCCCACTTGTCTGAATAAACAGTATCATGGGCTGTTCTAAAATGTTCCACAGGTACAATTCTCTACCTTCCCAAGTTTAAATGGAACAAAAATGTTGGGAGGGAGTAGAGCTAGGATACTGTTGCCCACAGCTTTAACACCTGAAAAGAGTTACTAGGTCATGCTGTTAATGAAGAAGCATCTTAAAGACTCTTCATCCAGATTCTTCTGTGTTCATTGTGCACAAGGTGGAAGGTGCAGGGCTTGGAAGCCTGTGGCCATGCAAGTGTTGATGAACTACAACTCCCATCTTCCCTGACTATTGGCCATCCTTGGTGGGGCTGATGGGTGTTGTAGTCCTGCAACATCTGGAGAAGGTCACAAGCTCCCCATCCTTCTTTAAGCCAGGAGAAGAAGCCCAGATCTTTCCCCCTTTAGGACCTTTACATGTTGTCAGATATGACGCATGTGAAACAGACACTCTTAATAGCAAACGAAGCCTGCAAGCTCAAATGGCAGCTATGAACCAGGAAGGGCTGAGGGCCTGTGGCTTTCCCCCAATTCACCGTAAACTATTTTCTGACTTCCAAGCTTACAAGATCGAGACAGTCACGAGCGACCGAGATGACGCAGAGACAAAGGAGAACGTCTCTCTTATTTTCGAGGGGAAGAAGGGACGGTCAAAAGAGTTCCTTCTGGAGAACTCACCCAAAAAAAGGAGATTTTTAAGGTATGTGGGTAGTCTTAATATATGGCGACGATGATTGCTGATGGCAATTTTGTTGCAGAAGAGGCATTCCTCTCTGTCTAACAGGAAAATCCTCTTCTAAGAGGTTGCCTTATACTGAATCTGACCAGTGGTCCATTTACCTTTGCATTGCCTACATTGGCTGGCAGTGGCTTTCCAGGGTTTCAGAGAGGGAATCTCTCCCAGCATCTGCCTGCAGATGCTGCCAGTGGAACCTCCGACCTTCTACATGGAAAGCTTACTGTCACTCTTCAGGGACTCAGCTTCCTTCTCCCGTTTGGCAGTAGATAAACAGAACAAAGCGAAAGGAGTCTCTTACCGGTTAGAAATTTTAATGATCACAGCAAGAGATCAAAGAATCCATTTCTAGGAATGAAGGTGCTCCCATTTAAGGGTACCACCCACTTCCCCCCTAGTCGCCCATGTCATTTCCGTGTCTTGCAACCTGATTTCGCAACCACTTTGCTTTCTGTTCTGCCACCTTATCTGTTCTCCTTGACCTTAGGCTGAGCGGATGGACGCTTTCCAGCGAAAGTGAGCCTGTTAACTTTCTCTCCCAGTTCTTCTCCTAACTGTTCACCGCTCAGTTCTTCCCAACTTCTGTCTTCTGAACTATGTCCCTCTGCAAACCACTGTTCTAAATCTATACTACTTCTCAGCATGGTTCCCAACACTTACACTCTACCACCGAGAGTTGACCCTTCCTCCAATATAATGCCATTGGAGGAAGACGCAGGCTTCTGGTGAAGGATGAGGTACGGAGGACTGGATTTATATTGCTGCTGCTTCATTTGAATGGAAATTTACGTTGACCTGTTCTAATATTATTGTTTAACTTTGCTTTCTGATTTTAAATATATCCACCCTGGGAACTTCAGGTGAACGGCAGACTATAAATAACAGAATCAGCATTGTAGAGTTGGAAGGGACCCTGAGGGTCATCTAGTCCAACCCCCTGCAATGCAATAATCACAACTAAAGCATCCATGACAGATGGCCATCCAGCCTCTGCTTAGAAATCTCCAAGGAAGGAGAGTCCACAACCTTCCAACCTTGTATGAATTCTGTCTTCTCATCATGACTGTTGGTCTTTCTGATATTAATCAACACTGGGTTTTTGTTTTATTTTGTTGTGGGGCGGGGTGTTCTCCAGAGGAGCAACAGACGAATTTGAGTTCGCTTCCAAGAATGTCGGCGATATTGCGGCCATCTGTGTTAGTCACTGTCCAAAAGATGGAAAGAAATCAAGTGTGAAAACAGAAGTCTGCTGGCATGTTGAGGAGATTATCGTCACGGAGTTGGAACTTTTCAACCAGTAAGTGGCATGTAGGAAAGAGCTCCCTAGATCAGGCATAGGCAAACTCGGCCCTCCAGATGTTTTGGGACTATAGCTCCCATCATCCCTAGCTAACAGGACCAGTGGTCAGGGTTGATGGGAGTTGTAGTCCCAAAACATTTGGAGGGCCGAGTTTGCCTATGCCTGCCTTAGATGTCTCTGGCATTCACTGATTCCACAAGTGGCAGGGACAACTGGATCTGATGGTATTTCTGGATAGTTGCAACAAGGTCCATGTCCTGAATATGGTGTCGGGTCAAGTCTACAGTCCCCCTTCACCCTATAGGGCTGAATGACTGCTGGCTCCCTTGTTCAGGAGGTAAACCAGATGGAACCAGATGAATGTAGCTCACCGATAGGGTTGCTGGCTTTCCAGATTTGACTAGATGTTTCTTGGTTTTTCCTACTCAGGCATTATACTCATGAGTAAGTAGAACATGCAGGTGGGTAGAGCAGGGAAGACGGTACTAGCTCCAACCTCACCAGTACTTGTGTTGGAGGACAGCCATTTGCAGTGGGATACATAAAGATGGGCAAGTTTGGCAATTTTGCTTTCTCTGGATTTCTCATCCCCTCCAATTGGCTGGAGAACTGCATTGCAAAATTTGAAGAAAAGCTAATTTCATATGACATCTGTGTTTCGGTCCACATAGTATTTCGGAAAATGCTTATTTGAAGGTTTGCCTCTAAGCCTATCTTAAATCAAATTTCTTCCCCCATCTCTAGTCCCTTCCAAATCTATGCATTCTTGTATGCCATTTTAATTTTAATGCACATTTTAAATGCATATCTGTGCACGTTACTTGGCTGGAGAACCGCATTGCAAAATTCAGAGAAATGTAAATTTTGAAGAACGGCTGTGCTGGAGTTGGTGAATTGTTTCAGGAAATGAACATTAACTAAGTTGGCCTTTAAATGGGAAATGAACTGAATTTATCCCCATTCCTAAGTACAGGCTGCCATTCTCTGCTACACAGACACAAAAGACCCTTGAGATATCATATCATGGTGTATCGTAATTCCAAAAAAGGCATGGAAGGCATGGAAATAGCAATTGCTGGGCCATCAATAGGACCTCGATGGTTGTTTGGCATCGGCACCAAAATTGCATTTGATACAACAAAACGCCACCTCCACCACTTTTTCTCGTGAGCCCCATTCCCACAACATTGCAAGATTTTCTTCCTCCCCTCAAAATTCGCAAAAGGAGGTTGCCCCTTTTCACCCATCTTAGCCCCGTATTTTCCAATTTTTGGCTCAGTGTTAGGCAGAACAATGAAAAACATGGAGGCAGACCAAAGAGCCTTCTCTTTAAGAGTCTTTGGGGCTCACAAGAGCTGTTAATTATTCAATTTGTTAATTTCCCATGAAACCAGTCACACTTCCCTTGAGGTACAACTAGTGTATGCCAACACACGGTTTGGGAGTGACTGCATGGGCCCTGGAGCTGAAAGTAAACAAATCCCCATTTTGTTAACAAAGCACAAAGTGCGATCCCATCTGATCCTACCTTACCCTGAACCTGTCAAAAAACCAACCTATCATGCAACTCACCCTGTTAGAGGTTTGAGAGCAGGTGTGATTACAGTATATACCATGCAGATCCAATGGGGTGGTGTTTCACAGCTGTACCAATGAAACTTTTTGAGTTAAAGCACAAATCCTTGCTGTAAGAAGGTCTGTTGGCACACATAAAATACGATGCCTGTTTCCCATTGGGCATCTGGGGATGCCAGGCTTCTGAGGTAACCTCCAGCTACGATTGCTGTGATGTGTTGTATGCAGGGCCGCCCTTGAGGCTCTCCCAGAATCTGCAGCTAGTGAAAAATCTGGCAGCTGGACCGCTCACTAGAGCAGAATATCATCAGCATACTTTGCTACTGCTGAAAAATTGTCCATACTGCTAACTGGGAGCAGCATGCCTAAAAGATTGCCTCGTCCCCTACATATCCAGCCTATTACTGCTTTCGGCAAAAGACCGTAGCCTGCAGCTATCATCTTAGCAGGAAGCTTGCTCCCTTGCTGTTGTGGCACCCACCTGTCTCAGGAGACAATGGAGGAGTGTGCCTTTGGGGATGAAGTCAAACTGTTGGAAGGTTACAGCATCTGCTGTGACTATAGAGACTGGTACGGGAGAGACATGTTTTGTTGCAGCTGGGGCAGATGAAGGCATCCAGTTGTGCTGCTGCAGATGCACCACGGCGTTTCTTCTCTCTGAGCTCCTCCCAGTGGTCGTTCCTCCTCTGGTCCACTGCTATGAATGCATGACCTGTGTGTCTCCAGGTACAGTACAGTGGACACTTGGGCTGCGAACGTGATCCATGCGAGATACACATTCGAAACCCGCAGCGGCGCTTCTGTGCACACGCAGGTTGCGATTCGACACTTCTGCGCATGCGCAAAGCACGATTCAGCGCTTCTGTGCATGCGCGACCGCCAAAACCCAGAGGTAACCTGTTCTGGTACTTCCAAGTTTCGGCGGTCCGTAACCCAAAAAAAACACAACCTGAAGCGTCTGTAACCCAAGGTATGACTGTACTATGGTCATCTGCAAGGAATTCCCACACAGCGGGGTTGATGTTGCCAGCCTTCGTGTCATCTTTGTAGCAAAGAGTTGGTATGCCAGTTCATTCTCTACCGTGTCAGAACAGGGCCTTTTGTGTGGTGGCATCACGCCTTTGAAAGTCCCTCCCATTGCATATTGAACAGTCGCCTTCTCTGTTGCCTTTTTGGCACCTGCGAAAGATGTTCCTCTTTCAACAAGCTTCTAAATAGAGATCTTTATCCCAGCTGGTATCTGTGCTGGATCTGAATTTATTTTTACACATGTGCTGTTGCTGTTTTATTCTCTAGCTAGCTAGCTACATGGGATTTTTTTAAAAGTTTATTTTATACCTGCAATTGTTTTAACAGTTTTATATACGTAACTTTTTTTGCATATGTTATTACACTATAGATCGCTTCGGGACACCTCGTGGGAAGGGATTCATGAATGAAATAAATAATCATTGTCGTATGAGATTGGGATATGGGAAATGGAAGGGGCAGAGATTGCAACTTTTCAGAAGCAGGGCTGAGGGGAATAGGCTACTCATCCAATTAAATGGATTTCTGTGCCTGGTATGCTTATGGAAGTTTGCCAGCCAAAGGAATTTAAACAAAAGAAGGATAACAAAACATTCAATCAAATGGGATTTAGCAAAGCCAACAAAATAGTTGTTATGGAAAGTGTGGCTTCTCTCTCCCAAGAAAAATAAGCTCCCTGCAGCGAAATATTTGGTCAGAAAGGTAAGCCGTTAATCGTCCCAGGTACAAAGCTCTGTTCTGTTCCTTTTGGCAGGTATTTCTTCAGGTGCAATGCAAAAATACCACTCTGCAGGAAAAGGGGCGACCACAAGGTCTTTGAGTGTGCCAAGGTGATCGAGAGCTTTGCCAGCAAAGCTCGGAGTTTGGTGCCAGTCAAATATGAGGTCATTGTTGTGACAGGGTTTGAGAAGGGGTCTGGCACAGACGCCAACGTCCTGATTACCATATTCGGAGTGAACGGGGACTCCGGCAAGCGGGCGCTCAAACAGAAGTGCCGCAACCTCTTTGAGCGGGGCAATACCGACCGGTTCTACTTGGAGATCCTTGAGCTTGGGGAGTTGAAAAAAGTCCGCATTGAGCACGACAGCACTGGGATCTCGTGCGGATGGCTGGTGGAACGGGTGGAGATCACCAACTCCGCTACAGGCGTGACCACAAATTTCCCCTGCGGGAAGTGGCTGGATCAGAATCGAGGCGATGGGTTAACCTACAGAGAGCTGTTTCCAAGGAATTAATGGCAACGTTAAATGTACATTTTTTTCATGAAATCCTTAAACCTGGCTGGGCAATGGTGTTTCCCAGTCTGGGTCCCTGTTCCTGTTCTTCCCCCATCTTAAAAAGAATGTCAAAACAAACCCATTTTTGCTTACCATGTAAATTTAAACCAACCAGTTTCCTTTCAACGGGCTTCCAGGCTTCTGCTACAGAATATTGGCAGTTTACCCCTATTTTGTAAAAATATGCGCCTCTTCGGTAAAATTTTCATTGCACTTAAAACTTCTTTTCTCCTTGTTTAAATCATTTCGGAGCAATCCACAAAAAACGTTAATGCGCAGTTCATTTGTCATTATAGTGCCTGTTCACTGGAAAACCTTTACTACAATTCCTTTAAAATGCTGTGTTTTAACATTTTTAATTATTGCTGTTATTTGATTTATCCTCTTTTTTAATTAAAAAAAGAAAAAATACTTTAACGAAAAGCAACTTACATGAAAAACAGAAGGCGCTTTTCTCTGATTAAAAACATTTCCAGTGTGTGCGATGGAGCCATTTTAACTTTGCCAGATTATATGCTGGTACTTAAGCATGAATAAAGTTGACTTTAAAAATATTGTTGGGTTTTATTATAGGCATAAATAAATCCCGTATGATGAGATGGTCACCCCCATCCAGAGTTCTGAAAATGCCAACCTAGGATTGGTTGCCTCTAATTAGGGTAATAGGGATGTTCTTGCAGCTGCAATAACATTAGTAATCTCCTGCCCATCTAGGAGCTAAACCTCTGAATGATGGAGTGCGTGCTTTGGCTATGAAAGATTCAAGGTTCAATTCCCAGACTGTTGAGGTAAGTCAGGGATGGGGAACCTGTGGTCTTTCAAATATTGTTGAACTACAGCCCCTATCATCCCTGACAATTGTCCAGCTGATGGGCTTGGAGTCCAACAATTTCTTGAAGGCCACAGGTTGCTCACAAGACAAATTATAGAATCATAGAACTATGTATACAACTTTACATACAAACACAAGTGCATCATATATACTCCATATATTTCCCTTTAGGACTGGTAGGGCAGAAGGAAGAGAGAGCAGAAGGTAGAACAATGCTCTATTTGCCCTAATTGAGCAGCATCCATTTCTTGTGGGTCTCAGCTGCATGAAGTGGGGGTACCCAAGGACACCCCACCCACACAAAAACCCTCCCTGCAGGAGTAGAGTACAGCAGAACCTCTACTTACAACCGCCTCCACTTGCGGACATTCCTACTTGCGACCACACCAAACCCAGAAGTAACCGGCGGGTTTGCCGCCGTTCGCACATGCGCAGGAGCGGCGATCACTGTTTGCTTCTCCGCAGAAGTGGCGATTGTTGTTTGCACCTGCGCAGAAGCGGGCAATCGCCGCCCGCACCTGCACACAATGGCACCTCTCCCAGCAACCCATTTCACCATAAGGACGGGCCTCTGGAACGGATTGTGGTCATGAGTAGAGGTTCCACTGTATCCCGATCAAGGGAAGTAGTAGTACAGCTTCATTATGCTTTGGTCAGACCCCCACCTGGAGCCCTATGTCCAGTTCTGGGCACCACAATTTAAGAAGGACATTGACAAGATGGAATGAATGCAGTGAAGGGCAACCAAGATGATCAAGGGTCTGGAAACCATGCCTTATGAAGAACAGTTGAAGGAGTTGGGTATATTTAGCCTGGAGAAGAGAAGGCTGAGACGTGATATGATAGCTGAAGGAGCAAGCTTGTTTTCTGCTGCTCCAATAATAATAATAATAATAATAAATTTTATTTATATCCCGCCCTCCCCAGCCTTAGCCGGGCTCAGGGCGGCTAACAACAATAAAACAGTACAAAAGTACAGCATAAACAACACTCTAAAATCATTCATTCTAAAATTAATTAATTCAAGCCACTGGCAACCATTGGGCCAGAGCTCCACGAAGATTGCCAAAGGAGGGAGTCAGGCTGTGCCCTTGCCAAAGGCCTGGTGGAACAGCTCTGTCTTGCAGGCCCTGCGGAAAGATGTCAAGTCCCGCAGGGCCCTGGTCTCTTGTGACAGAGTGTTCCACCAGATCGGAGCCACAGCCGAAAAAGGGTAGGACCCTGAACCATTGGGCTCGAATTACAGGAATGGCAATTCCAACTAAAGAGGGAAACTTCCTGATGGTGAGAGATGTTCGACTGCGGAACGGACTCCAACTGAATGTGGTGGGCTCTCCTTTGCTGGAGGTTTTTAAGCAGAGGTTCGGCGGCCAATTCTCTGGGATTCTTTAGCTGTGATTCCTGCATTGCAGGGGAGGGGTTGAGCTAGATTACCCTTTGGAGGTCAACTCTACAGTTCTAGGATTCCCTATTTCAGGAGTCAATGCAAAGTGTGTTAAAACCAAACCTGAGGCTCCTTGCAGAGACCCAATAGGAGACCCTGACCAAAGCAACTCACACAAAAATGCCTCCATCCTCCTTTCCCTTTCTGCCGCGTTCAACTTTTGACACCCCACCCCCACCGGAGGCCCATTCCCGTTGCTACAACAACTGACGCTACAGTCGTAATAAGATTCCCGCTGAACTTTTCCAATGGGAGGATTTACATATATTTCTCTAAAATGAATGCATTCTTGGCAAAGGGAGCTGAGGAGCTGGGGAGCTGTCAGCTGGTCAGGCATGGAGAGCTCGTTTGCTGCAGTGACTTCCTCGTTTGCTAACGCGCTCGCTCCTCGGTCAATGCCATACTACAGAAACCCAAATTAAATTGGTGCGGCTGCAGGAGCTGAGAATGGCAGGCGTGGTTCTGCCACCGTAACGCCAGTGATGTCTGCCAAACTTTAGATGCTGTCCTTTAAAGGTCTGCTGTGGTTTTCTTTCTCACAACTGCCTTTTGCCTTCGCTTAATGGCAGCATTTTAGCCCCACAGACTACCTACAAGATTAGTTAGGTGACAGGCCAATTACCCTAAGGCTCTTCTTTTTATTCATTTTTTCCTTGGGGACTAATGCATCTCCTTGGAGATATCTGCAAACAACAGGCTTTAAAATGAGTTTAGCAGAACAAAGTTTCACAAAGACCCCTGGAAACTCTACATTTTGTGCAGGGTAATGTGAGCTGGGGGACGCGGGTGGCGCTGTGGGTTAAACCACAGAGCCTAGGACTTGCCGATCAGAAAGTTGGCGGTTCGAATCCCTGCAACGGGTTGAGCTCCCGTTGCTCAGTCCCTGCTCCTGCCAACCTAGCAGTTCGAAAGCACAAAAGTGTAAGTAGATAAATAGGTACCACTCTGGTGGGAAGGTAATCAGCATTTCCGAGTGCTGCTCTGGTTTGCCAGAAGCAGCTAATCATGCTGGCCACATGACCTGGAAGCTTTACACTGGCTTTCTCGCGTAAAGATGAGCGCCGCAACCCCAGAGTTGGCTACGACTGGACCTAATGGTCAGGGGTCCCTTTACCTTTAATGTGAGCTGGACATTTGTAACAGGGATTTTGCAGCCCCTTACTGTGACCATAGAATGATAGAGCTGGAAGGGACCTCGAGGGTCATTCAGTTGAACCCCCGGCAATGCAGGAATCTCCAATGACAGATGGCCCTCCAACCTCTGCTTCAAAAATCTCCAAGGAAGGAGAGTCCATCACCTCCCAAGGGAGACAAATATATTGAGGAGAGAGCTGTCAATGGCTGCTACCCATGATGGTTGTGCTTTACCTTCTCTGTTGGAAGCAGAAATGCTTCTGGATACCATTTGCTGGAAACAGCAGCAGAGTTGCTCTTGTGCTCCTGTTCTGATCGCTGGATTCCACAGGCCACTGTGAGAACAGGATGCTGGACGAAATGGACCACTGGCCTGATCCTGCAGGCTCTTCTTATGTATACACACACACAGGGCTACCACCCCTGCTCGCTGCACCTGCCTCCCCAACTCTCCTTCTCCCATACCTGGCCACCCCTCCTCCCTTTATAAGAAGAAGAGAAGAAGAAGAGTTTGGATTTGATATCCTGCCTTTCACTCCCCTTCAGGAGTCTCAAAGCAGCTAATATTCTCCTTTCCCTTCCTCCCCCACAACAAACACTCTGTGAGGTGAGTGGGGCTGAGAGACTTCAGAGAAGTGTGACTGGCCCAAGGTCACCCAGCAGCTGCATGTGGAGGAGCTGGGAAGCGAACCTGGTTCACCAGATTACGAGACTACCGCTCTTAACCACTACACCACACTGGGTCTCACCTCACCCAGTCCCTCACACCTCCCCTCACAGCTCAACCAAAGCTCTTCTACCCACACAGCTTGTCCTCAAACCAGTCCCCCCTCCCAGCAGTTCACCCCAACAGCAGTTTGCCAAACCACTCCCCAACATATCCACAATGGACAGGAGACCGTTTGTCCTTCTGTCTCGGTTCCTTTCACCTCCCCGGCAGTTTGGCCTCTCCAGATTTGCACAGCCGCCCTTAAAACACGCTCATATTTCATTCGATGCCAGGATCACTTCCCATCCATTCTGAGGAGAGGAGTTCTGCAAAGAGCTTCTATCTGTGATCCAGTCTGGTGGTGGCTGAGGTAAATGTCTTTTTCCTCATTGCTGTAGGCGCCTCTTCTCTGTTTTCCCTATTGGCTCATGGTGGGGGCCAGTGCCAGATTTACGTATAAGCTAAACAAGCTATAGCTTAGGGCCCCACTCCATTGGGGGCCCAAAAAAATTTAAAGGAAAAAAACCTGGATGTACATTTCCAAAATATAAGATAAAAAAAGAAATAAAATAAAACCTACATACAGCAATGAAGGGACGTGGGTGGCGCTGTGGGTTAAACCACAGAGCCTAGGGCTTGCTTATCAGAAGGTCGGCGGTTCGAATCCCCGCGACGGGGTGAGCTCCCGTTGTTCAGTCCCTGCTCCTGCCAACCTAGCAATTCAAAAGCACATCAAAGTGCAAGTAGATAAATAGGTACCACTCTGGTGAGAAGGTAAACGGCATTTCCATGTGCTGCTCTGGTTCGCCAGAAGCGGCTTGGTCATGCTGGCCATGTGACCAGGAAGCTGTATGCCGGCTCCCTCAGCCAATAAAGCGAGATGAGTGCCGCAACCCCAGAGTCATCCATGACTGGACCTAACGGTCAGGGGTCCCTTTACCTTTACATACAGCAACAGTGTTTTGTGTTGTGTAGGCTCCTGTGATGTAAGTAATGGGCCCTGCCTGCTAGCCTGCTCCCTAAAATATCACTGGTTTGCTCATTTCTATATATAGGGTGCCTACATTCTGCATATTTTGTTATGTGCAAATGGCTTTAGATACCTATTAGGTCCATAAATAGGGACGCGGGTGGCGCTGTGGGTAAAACCTCAGTGCCTAGGACTTGCCGATCATATGGTCGGCGGTTCGAATCTCCGCGGCAGGATGAGCTCCCGTCTTTCGGTCCCAGCACCTGCCCACCTAGCAGTTCGAAATCACCCCTAAGTGCAAGTAGTTAAATAGGTACTGCTTTATAGCGGGAAGGTAAACGGCGTTTCCGTGTGCTGCACTGGTGCTGGCTCGCCAGAGCAGCTTTGTCACTCTGGCCAAGTGACCCGGAAGTGTCTCCGGACAGCGCTGGCCCCCGGCCTCTTAAGTGAGATGGGCG